TTCAGCTCACCAGTTGTGAAACATAGTCCAAAGATACTTTTTTTTTTGAGAATTATGGTCTTTACTGCTGCTGCAGAGAGCCATCCATGCATTCCCAGTTCCTAAGCCTCAGAACTTAAAGTTTCCCACGTAATATTCAGCAGAGAGTGTGAAAGGCTCACAGGTCACAATGAAGACTGAGCTCTGCCTTTTTTCCTCTATGAACATATGCCCATATATTCCCTCCCTCTTTTTTTTCCTTTTTGGAGATGGCAAAATATGACACATTAGTGATGCATAACTGGCTAAGTGAGAAGGCATCACATCACAGGAGGGTCACATTTAGTTGACTTGTGCAGAATCTGAAACAAAAAATGCCAGAAGGAAACAGTCTACAATTAACATATTATGAATTTTAAGTTGTCTAGATCCTATTATATAAGGCAAAGGTTTTCCAAGAAACATTTGATCTTTGCTTAGTTTGAGACAATTTTGGAAGGTAAAAATCTGGTTTTGTTTTGCTGTGTATTTTTCTTCCAGAATATTATGAGCAAGAACTAAAACTTTAGGCTTTTGCAGAGGCAGAGTTGCTTATTGTGCTGCAATTATTAGTTTGCTTTTTGGGTTTTTTTTTGTTTGGAACTGGTTTATGCATTATTCTCTGCTTGTAAGTAGATATAAGCAAATGCTTAGCTTGGAGAATGCTTAGAGGAACACATGGAGTGCCCAATCAAGCCTGATTTTGTACAGTAACCACAGAAAATAACAGGGGGAGAGAAAATTTCAGTTGCCTTTGGTATAGGTAAATTAGACAGCCTAAAACTGCTCTGCTGGGAATTACCCTGAGCAAATTAGCCATCAGTCAAGGAAGCTGTTTGGTAAAGAAGCATTGAACAGTGCTTAGAAGTCCCTTCTGACTCAATGTTTCTGTCATGTGTCAGCACCTGGTGAAGATGCTGATGTCAGTGGTACATTTAGGATTTTAATCATCCTTGACAAGATGAAATATAGCCTCCAAATTCCAAGAACATATGGGATTATTGAGAAGGAAAATTGTGTGAACAAGGGCAATTATAGCAATAACTATCCATGACATACTACACTGAGTCATCCAAGCATAACACAGATATAATGAAAATATTTTTAAAGGCAAACATGATGTAAACCAGTGCCAGAATTATCTAATTTATTATTCTGTCATGAATGATAAATGTTAATAACTCCTATGTTGCACAAAATAGCAAGAAATCTTTCTTTTATGTATGCCTTGCTGCGTGATTTGAAGGGATACAAAGGGGAGGAAGTTTCTTTGTAATAGGTTTTGAAGGAGGATGAAAAACCCTTTCTTATCTAAATTCCAATCTTTAATTTTTCAGGATATAATTGCTCTAGTTATTTTTCATCACATAATTCCACTCCTCTTTAAATTCCCATCATCTCCACACCACGTCCACACACCTCTGCAACACAGAGGAGGCATCTGGCAGCCCATTAATCATCACAGAACTAGCTTTAACCTTGAAAATGTCAACCACAGGATTGCATCCCTATGATGGAGCTGTTTGTTCTTTGAGATGTAACATTTCTGGATTTACATCCTCATTTTCAGATAAAATTGTAGGAGCACTAAAGATGCATTAGTTAAAAAAATGATCAGTTTTTATCATGCACTTCATTCTGACCCATTGCCCTGTTATAGAGTGAAACCAGCTCTAGAGCCAAAGCTTCAGATTCTGAGCACTCAGGTTTGGCCTGAACCTGTGTTGGGTTTCTGCATTGGCTCTACTAAATTCCAGAAGCTCTTTCTGCTGGTAAGGCTCAGTACATTTATTATTATATACATGTAAACTCTCATAGAAAAATATTACCTGCACATTACCTAGGCACACCTGGCACAGACAGTAGGTCTTTCATATGAGGAAAACTCTAACTGCAACAATAGCACTGAGAGGGAACCATAATTGTGATGTTGTTTATGACATATGTCAAAAGAATAATTTGAAGAAACACAGAGTTCTTTTAGGAAATTAAGATTTCTTATTTATTTGAGGGGAGAAAAAAAAAACCCTCCCAACAAAACTAAATTATTTCACTACTTACTGGCAAAGTCATTCTTGCTACATTACCTGTTTTTAAAACTCACATCTCATTCAATTAAGATTTCATACCATTGACAAAATGATGCTGTCCTGAAAAAAAAAATATTGCAATAGCTGCTATATACAAGCCCATAAATAAACAGCAAGATTTTCAGGCTTCGAAAGACTGAGGACAGGAAGAGATTGTTTAAAGATTCATTTGAGCATTTCTTATTCAGTAAATTTGCTGCATTCAGGAACAACAAAACCACATTGAATTAAACACAAAGAATGGACTTGGGTGGCAGTGGAACACATTTGTACTTGGTGGGTTTTTTTTCACTAGTTTATCAAACCCAGAAGAAATTCCCAATGCAGGATTAGAAATAGAGTGTTCCTGCTCCAAACCTCATGTGACAGGAAAAACAAGATAAACTGCTCCATCACAAGCAACATTTACCAGTTAAAGCACAGGGTGCAGGTTAGCCACAGTGGATCTCAGGAGATACAGGATAATAAATGCTCCCTCAATACATAATACATCTATGTCACATTCAAAAGTATAAAACCAAATACATTTTCATGCTCATCTTGGTTTTGGTGACCAAGTTTTAAATAGGATACACCTGGCTGAAAACTGATTTAGCATTTTATACTATTGCCATTTTGTACTGTCAGTTATGTGTCACATGGGTTTGTTTTTTTTCACATGGACCTTGGGCAGTGACAGAAGTGACCAATATACATCAGCACAGGAGGAAATGCAAGCAATGAAAATTGTGTGGAGGGGAATAGTTTTTAAAAATAAGATTTTTAAAAAAGGCTTTTATGTGTTGTCTGGTTCATTCACAGAACTGTTCGTGCTATAATACAATGATTAGAAATGATCAGGGAGAGTTTCAATCTAGCTCTGTGGTCACAGTGTAAAAAAACCAAAAAAACAAACCAAAGAAGCAAACCCACAACAAATAAACCTCAGATGCTCCAGTATAAAAAAATATGCTTAAATATGTTGTCTGCACAGTATACAAACTGAACTCTGTTATCACAGTACTGTTCTGTCACAATCTCCTCTGTACATTCCAAGGGCTCTGTCTACTGTGTCTTTTGGGGAAAAAAAAGAATCATTTTCAGGCCAAGAAAAGCTCATATATTTGCACAGCTGTAAGACAGACCTATGTAGAAAAGGCTAGGAAAAAGCCATACACAAAAGCCAAGCTCAAGACACAGCCATTTACATATTTAGCTTTTACTGACCTGCTGTGTAGAGTTAGATGGCAATGACTGGAGTTATTCAGCAATAGGAAACATGAGATTAAAGCCCATATTTCATGTGTGTATATGTGTGATATGCAGTGTGCCACATTGTGCTCTGTTCCAGCTACAGAAATCCAGCATAAATCTGGTGAAATGAAGATAATTTCTGTAGAACATTTTAATTTGCAGCCCCAGACAAAGTTGGGTGAGCTGTGACATTTCAGTCTGGTGACCACACCAACAAGTTTGGCCAGGAAGGGGAGAAGGCTGAAAAAGATTGGTTCAAACTGAACCAAATCATTTTGTCTTAGCACAGAAAAGAAACAAGGCCAAAATTTGTTTTGACTCAAAGAAAAATTAAATGCATTGAGTTTTTCTAAACTTTCAACTCCATATCTTTTGGCTGAAACACTTGACTAAATTCAGCCCTAACTGATGGATGTTCCTGTTCCCTAAAGATCAATTTACTTTTACTTTCTCTTTTAGAAATTTACTGTCCGATAGACAATTTCCACCTTGCACATTAAGGTGTAAATAACTTTTCTCTTGGAAATCAATAATAAATATCTTGCTAGATTCACTGGGACCAGAAATGGTCTGAGTTGCTGAAGCTAGAAACATAATTAAGTTTAAAAAAAAAACAGTATAAAACCTCTTGGCAAAACATGAGGTTGAAAATTTGCATCTTTTCCTCTTTTTGTAGTCCTTTGATAGCCCAGTGTATTAGGAAAGCTAATTACCTTGGTGATTCCTCAAACCACTATACCCAGTCTGTTACAGAGAGAGCTACACAAACAAAGAAGAGCTGGAGGTAAGGAGCCATGGCTGCAAAGCTGCTCTGAGAAGGAGCAAATCTTTGGGAATTGCTCTGGAGACCCTGACTAATGAGTAAATCCTAGAGCAAGACACGTATTTAGGAGTTCTGACCATCTCCAGGACTTTAAGTCTCCTTTACCCCAGCTGGGAAGGTGTGTGGTTGGCACAGCCAAGGCTGCACTCCCTTGTGCTCCAAACACCACTCTGAGACCCCATAAAACACTGGTCAAAAGAAAAATTACAGTGGTTTTTTTCCTCCTTAAAGATACTTCATAGCAGTACTAAAGCAGAAGCTATTAAGTGCTGAGCAGAGTTTAAAAAACCACAAAAAGAGACTGCAGAGATCTATTTAAAAGTTATCTGTAGGTAACAATACATAGACTTATTTGTAGGCTGGTTGTCTTCACAGTGTATCGTTGTGTTATATCTTTGCAGTTGGTATTCAGTGTCTCAAAATGACCTGTAAAAAGGGAAAGACAAGTCACAGTGCCAAGTTTGGATTTCTAAAAGCTACAGTTGTGCTTGTGAAATGCACTTGATGGACAGTTGCTGATTGCATCCCAAAGCTTCAGGCTAAGCAGTGGAATAATTGATCCTGTGATATGTCAGCAGACACAGAGCAGCAGAGAAATGCTGAGAGCTGCTAAAGGATGACCTGAGCCATTTCTGCCCCTGCCAGATAAGATGGAAAATACAAATAGGTTGTGTACAGGAGAGGTACATGTTACATATGCTGTTTGTGTATATAGAGGAGTATGTGTATATCAGCTTTGCTAATCCATTCCCTTGCTGGGAGTGGAGTAGCTGCAACCTGCTTCTCCCTCAAGTCCTGCTTTCCTTGTAGATTTCAATTCATCACCATACTATGTCTTTTGAATAAACTCCACTTGGATAATTGGATTCTGTAAGGTAATAAATGTAAACAGAGAGAACACAGCAAGACCAAAATAGCCCCATTACAACATCACAATGGGAAGCATTTCATTTTTGAGCATAAAAAAATCCATCTTTCCAGAGGTATGTTGCCTTTCCTCACTTGTGGGAGCTGGAATGATTCAGAGAGCAATAAGCCCTTTTTGTGTACCTAGTGTTTTCATCATTGCTGACAAAACCATCCAGTGTATATTTGTGCTAGTTATTTTTACAGGTATTGCTAATAGCCAAGTGTTAGAGTGTGTTACAGTTTTGAAGGCAAAGCTGATCAGGGCTCTTTACTCAACAAAACAATATGGCAATTCCCAACTTATTAGGCAGTGATTTTTTTTTTTTTTTTTAAAAAACCCAGTTTTCTCCTCTTAGTAACAGTGAGAAAAAGCTGATAGACACTGTGTCAGAGGTCCTGAATGTATGGCTTGATTTTCTCTGAGGAGCTGGTGTTCCTGTCAGACTGCTGATAAATCAATGCGGTTGGCTGAATTGGTGCTTTTATCCCAGGTGTTCAGCTTTGTGGGGGTTGTGCCTGGCCTGTTCCCAGTCATCTGGAAAAAAAAAATAGTATTAAAAATAGATTTATTTATTCTGATAAACCACTCTTGCCTGGATGAAAGAAAAGCTTGAAAGCATCTATCTACATTACAGTGTTGTCACAGGGGCTCGAGAGCACAGGCCATAAAGGATTTTTAAACAGTTATTGCCAAGATCTGAGGTGATTGGCAACAATCACTTAATAATACCTATCACTTCAGATGTCTGGTTCTTTATAAAAACAAATGTCTTTTGCCTCAAAACAATTTCAGGGGGCATAGAAAAGCATATTCACGTGTTGACTTAAGAGTTTATTCCTCAGAGTGCCCTATCAAAAAACCATCATCATCAGATTGCCAAAATGCTGCTGCAATGCACAAGTCCATTACAGTTAGTGGGAAAAGTCTGATGGAACTGTACTCCAGAGTTCATAAACCTTTGCTTACTTTGATTTGATAGTTTACCAGAAAGCAGAATTTTGTTTTCAAAACAGATATTGTAGCTGCATGTTAATGCTTGCTGATCTCACCTGTCTACACCATGCACTAGGTTAGTACTAGAAATACCCATGTGCCTTCTCATGGCCTGTTCTTTGTAACAGAATTTCATGTGGAACACTTTCAAGTGCAATAGGGAAATCAAAAAGGAAGGAGCAATACTCACAATGTCTGAATTGAAGGGTTTCACATTGATGTTGCGAGTTGAACTACTGGTAAGGGACCAGACCTTGGTTTTGTGCTTAAAGGCAGCTCTAACCTTTGAGGAAAAAAAGTGAAACCAGGTAGATTTCCTTTGATAAAGCTGTGTTTATTTTCACAGCTGCAGCCTACAGTCATTGCCCCATTATCCTTCCTCCACATTAACATCTCTGTGCTAATAACCAACCAAGAATCCACCCCTATACTTTTCTTTATATTTATGGTCTGATTTTAAAATGTAACTTTACTTTCCATATTTTAAATACAAAGTCCTGTGTAACCTCACTTAGGTATCATTTCATTGGCCACATTTTCATGTAACCTGGATTATCCCATCCTCCCAGATATCCAAGGTGTGACTACTGTGTTACCACTCATCTCATTAAAAATATTCAATAATCAAAGCAAAAGCCCCAAACTGTGCTGCATATAAACATACACCCCCAGCTTTGCAGTCCTGGTTTCAATGACTTCATAAGGTGCCATTGTACTGATTTCAGCAGGTCCCTAGGACACTTTCACATTTTCTAACTAAATATACAGCCCCAGGCTGGACCACAAGGTCCCCACTCAGACAGGCTCTCCCTGGAGCTCACACAGCTCTGACAGATCCAGATGCCACAAGGCTCTAAGCCAGCTGAATTATTTAAAGATGCTGGATGAAACTCCCTAGAGCTGTAGGAAGATTCTTTCACCAAGGTGAAAATAATCAGCTGCATAAAGATGGGGAGACAGGCATTCTTTAGGCAAGTAGATGTGATTTATCAAGGATTACTGGCTGGAAGTGATTGACCAGTGTTATGATATTGAGATCAAGAATATCTTGTCAAACCATCTTGATCCATTCTCCTGTGCTTCTTTATGACTTGTGCATTTCTGGGAGCACAGGCAATAAAATCCTTTTTTACCCAACCATTTCTACATCAAATCTACCCATCTGCATTTCTGAGAGCACAAGCAATAAAATCCTTTTTTTACTCAACCATTTCTACATCAAATCTACCCATTTCTCTTTACAATATCTGACTTTTACTTCTATGGTAAGAGAGAAATTTTCAATAATTCTTCTTGCTGTTTAGCTGAAGAAGTATTGTAGATATGCACAGTAGACCTGCTCTCCAAAAATGACAGCTCACATCAACTATGTCCAAACTGATTTTTGAGGATACAAATTCTGAAAAGTTTCTGAATTTAATTTCTCCTGAGGTTCCTGGGAAAATGACAGCAATTCAAGTATTTGTATTTGATACAAAGCATTTGAAGCTTGAAGCTTTCTAAGCCTGGGGAAGAATAGAATAAAGAAATATTTTCCCTCCCTACCTTTCACCTCCTGCTTAATTTTAATTGATTTCAATAAAGACCAAGAGTTTCATAGTCAGTCCTGACTCTTCAAACTGACTGTGGCAGAGATCACATCATGCTCTGAGACTGAATAGGTTGGCAAATATTAATAGTGTCTCCAGAGAAGAGCTGGAGTGCTACTCTCACATAGGAAGCAGCAGCAGGCAATGGGGCAGAGATACTCATTACAGCCAGATGAAAAAACTCCTGAACTACCAAAGCTATGTGGGTCTTCTCTGAGCAGTATCCTGTCAGATGCTGGAAATGGTTTTCCTAAGAAACATTTGTTATCAGTGATACATGTTGCTGAGCATTTTCTGCTATCTGCCATGGGAGGAGAGGATGCTGCAAGTCCCATTTACATCAGCCTTGCCTTGGCTTTATCCCAGTTGCTCTAACACAGCCTTAACACAAAAAGATACCTCAGTCCACTAGGAAAACCTGAACTTCCTGCCAAGAAAAATACCTGAAATATCTTCTACTCTGTTTGCTTTCCCATTAAGGACTGCATGAGCAGTGTCCAAAAGTATGTTTAGCTGAGAATAATATTTATTTTCCTCTCTGGAATGGCAGATATAACAGAGCCCCCTAACAGGGACTGCCAGAGTGAGTCCTGCTCCCACTTTTAAGCATCCTCCCTTCACAGCACAATCTGTGCCCTGCTCAGCCTCTCCAGCCCTTAGAAGTGCTTCTTTCCTTACTCTTGAATCGCCTCCTCTTATCTTTGTTCTTTGTTTCAAACCTTTCTTATGCTAATTAAAACGAATGTCAAGCATGGGTCAAAATGCTGCAAGTCACAAAGCCACCAACAGCCATGTATTAATTACAGGAAAAGTAATCAGTGGCATGGCAGCAACTAGAATGGAGCAAGTCTGTTCTTGTTTTACACCTGTGTTCTTTGAATTTGGTAACACCAAAATTTGTTAACACCATTTGGTTACACATACCTCTGAGTTCAGAAGACAGTGAAACAGGAACATGAAAAATCCCTGAAAAGAGATGAAAGGGAGAAGGGTGAGGTCTGGCTGTGAAGAATCAAAACACAGTAATGTGTTTCTCACAGTACCAGGCAGCTGCAGATTTATAAATATCACAGAGTGAGCTAAACTGCCCATGTGAAACTGGAGAAACCCACAGCATCAGGTTACGATGAGGTTTGTCTGGAATCTTTCCTGTAAAAAGGCAAGTCCTAAACTTTGCAGGACTGACTAAAGGAAAAATAAGGCTGAAAATAAGCAGAAATTCTGTTTTCATGTCTGTGTTTGCAAAGACCAAGGCAGGGGGAAATGCTCTTTGGGAAACACTAGATGAATATTTTTCACGTTAGAAAAGCACTAGCAAAATTTTGTTATCTTTGGGCATTTTGTTCAACGCAAAGTGAGAAGGTTCCATCCTCCTTCCCTCCCAAAATAATTTTATTTTCTTTTGTTAAATAGCCAAACTTATTTTTTTCTATTTTTATTTTGGATGAAAATTAGAACTTTTCTTATCAGCCTATGGGGAGTTACACTCTTTTTGTGTCCACAGTGCTATTTGTTCCCAAGACAAAGAAGTATTTACAGGAATTTTTCTTGCCCTTTGTACCCTTTATTTGGGAGAGAATTGTAACACACCTATAAGTTTATGCCTCTACTGAAATGTCTGCTCCAAGCTAAGCAGATGCTTACATTTCTTCTTGGACAGAGGTATTTTTCTGGCTTGGTATACCAAGAAGATGAGGGTCTAGTTGCCTGCATGCAAGAGTAGTGTTCAGCACAGGGAATAGCTCCACTTTTGATCTTTTCCACAAACTTCTGTTTGCTTTCATTTAGCCTCAGTAATGAAGCCTCAAATTGAGATTGAAAAATTGGCCTGGTATCTCTGCTGAAGAATCCTGCCTGTGGTACATGGGGTTGGAAGAATGAATTTCATTTCTCAAGCTCACTGTCTCATTTATTTAATTATTGCTACTGGAAACACTAAGGAGTGGGACACAAGTTCTGTTCAAACAGAGACAAGCAATTGCCAGCACCGTATGGTCAGCACAGACTTAAAAGACAGAGGAAGGAACACAGGAAAAAAAATGCAAGAGACACAGACATGTGAAAACATTACTAATGATCCATTTAATTGGATCTCAGCAGTAGTTCTGTAGCCATAAACTTTCCCACCAGGTACTTACTTGTAGTGAATTGAAAACAGCAAATATATACTGAAATACTAATGCGTGGGCATTGACAGCCAAAATCCCAAAGATCCAGGAGCTTCCCAAGATTGGTAAGAGAACAGCAACAGCTTTGGCTGTTAGTCTGAAAGAGAAAATGAAGATAGGAAATGTGGTGAGACAGTTAAGCAAATTTCAGCCCACACACCAGGGAATGTACCAATTACGTTCTGGCAGCAAAGCAGTGTGTGCAACTCTCTTCCCATGAAATTCTTTTAATGGGCAAGTCTTTTAATTATTATTCATCTCTGAAAATGGGGAGAACAGAACCCTTGTATCACATGGGATAAATATGGATGGAGAGTCAGTAACTGAGGGGCAGGGGGAGAGATGGAGAGAAGGTCATGTAACTACTGCAGTCATATCTTCTGTTTACAGTGGAGCATCATTTTGTGAGTGAGGAGTCAAGTGCAAAAGTCAAGAACAGAATTAAGAACAAGGGCAGCATCACGTGGAAAAGCTAACTACACCTAACATACATTTGCTCAGCACACAGGTGAGTCAAGGCAACACAGTATTTCTCTTATAGAAAGTGACTTGGGATTTTTAATCACCACACATGGGAATAAACATGATGTAACTCTGCCAAATGCAAATCCCCTAACAGCATGGCATTATTCTGCTACCCACACTGCTCTCTTCAGAGCAGATTCAGATAAACATCCACCAAATATTGAAATAGCTCGTGCTTCTTGGAGACTCCTATTGATATATGTTCACTCTGCTTAGTGTGGAGGACTCGGCAGAATTTCAGTGGAAGGTGGGATGACAGCTGAAAAGTTAATAGCACTGAGAAAATAAGGGGAATTTTTGGGTTTGCCTTAATGAGTTATTCCAGGGTGTTTGTTATACACAGGGTGTTTATTGTGGTGGAAGATGAATTAAATTATAGTATAATTAAAGAGAAATAAATGATCACAGAAATTTTTCTGCAGCTGCTGAATTCTGGGGACCAGGTTTTATATAAGGAGTAAACGAAGGGAACTACAGAAAAAAACAGAGGAATTGCATTTAAATTGTGAGATTGCAGTTAGGTCTCCTGAGTGTATCCATAGCCATTTGCATTAAACACCAAAGAACTATGCACATTCTACAAAGAGCTCATTTCCTTCACATGTAACAAGAATTAGAGGCAGCTGAACCTCCCAGAGTGCTCAGGACCCTTTAAAAGATTAAAGGGTAATACCTGCATCCCTTTTCTGCTTTGACAGAAACATTGCTCTGCCACCCCATACCACACACTCAGCCACTTCTAGGTAAAACAGGCACAACCGATGCAGTTTAGCTCCCAAAGGTTATCCCTTATCCCACAAAACTGTCTCTCCCCTCTGAAGTGCTCAGAGCATCATCTCTGGTTCACGCTAACGAATTGCTCTAAAGAATTGTATTTTTGTCTCTGCATATACCTTGAGACATTGACTTTGAGAGGACCATAGTAACAGCCTTACAGAGTGTTTCTAGTGTAATCAGAGAAAAAATAGGAAGGCAACAGGATTACTCTGTGGAAATCCTGGCCATAGGATGCTACATACAACTGAAAAGGATCCTAGAAATTCACAGAAGATAGTGCTGTTGTGGATTGTTAAACATGACAATTCAGATGCAGAAGCTTAGGCAGGACATCCCTAATTTTGTGTGCTGAAATGTGGGAGTGTTCAGAGCAGAATTACTCTGCTTGACCTTTACAGTGGGGATACAGGCCTGGCTGGCCACAGCCCATCTGGTTTAATGGGAAATGGCAGTCCTTCTGTTTTTAGCCTAAACCATCTGGCTTCTTGATTAAGACAATAAACACCTTCACAGCTCGTTTTCACATCAATTCGGCCCAACAAAGGCAGGTGTAAAATAGCACAGGGTCAGGTGATCAATACTGGAGTTAATAAGTCACACACACTTTTTCCAGTGAGTGCCATACATCCCAGTTCACAGCACTGGGCAACCCAAAAGCATTCACGATGTCTGTCCACTCTGTAATCACTCAAAAACCTCATCAATCCCACAGGGCAAAACATTCTGGCTGTCGAGGCATTACTAAGTAGACAACCCAGTGTAATTTTGCCTGCTAAGGAAGAATAGATGAACCTTTGCACACCCAGCACCACATTTTCAGTGACAGCTGTCAAAGGACAAACTTCCTCCTGGGCAGCTGAGAACGATTTGGGTGGGAGAAGACAGAAAACAAAAAAAAAAAAAAAAAGGGACCTGTCCTCATTTGAAACATTCTGAAACAACAAGGCAGATTTAATCCCTACTTAACACAGCACTTAAAAACACTTAGTTAACTCCTGTTGTAGCCTGAGGGATTTAAGCACATGTTTACAATTAAGTGTATGTTTAAAACATCTCAGTGAGTTTAGTCTATGGTACAATTGTAGATGGAGAAGCCAAGAGAGCAGTAAAGGAAACAGAGGTAGTGAGAAACTGAAAGTCAATCCACGCTGGCTAAAAATACCTTTCTTTTAGAAAGATCAGATTTCTGTTTAGCTGGAAACCTGTGCCAGAGAGAAAGCTGTTTCAGGGAGATTAATGTCCTACTAGTGCTTTGTACCCCCTCCTGCAGATTAAAATACAGGTTCAGAGAAGAGCACAGAGCTGTGTGACAAGAAATCACTTGCAATTACAACCAACATAAACCAAATGAGAATTTTGTACAACACAATCCAACGGAGAAATCTTTTAATTAAACTTGGAGACAAAACATTTTGTTGATTCCAGTGAACTGAGCACACACTTGGTTATACCCTTGATTAAAAGTGTGTGTTGAAGAACTGCATAGATTTCAGGTTTCTAGGGAAATCTGGGACAGGGAAGAATCTGGAATTTTTCTTTTCTTTCTGTATTGATTCATATCTCTGTATCCTTGGCCATGAATATTTCTGCACGATTCAATTTGATTCTGCAAGGAATGTGTTCAGCCAGAGGATGAAGGAACAGAGCAAAGCTTCAGCTTCTGTTTAAATTTAAAAATGCATTTTAAAATATAGAATTTTATGACAACGGATACAAACTGGTTTGGGCAAATCATGGTTGCTTTGGGTTTTTTGCCTTTGTTAAGACTGAAGTTGCTCCCCAAACTCTACCATGAGATGTGCTCCACTGTGTAGCTACCAGCAGAGCAGCTCTTGCCATCAACTTTGTGCAGAAAGATCTGTAAAATCCTAGAGAGTCCTGTGCCTCCAGGGAAATACATCTGTGCAGGACTCGGGGCAGACTGGGAGAAGGAGACATGAACACCTGGAAGATGGATCAGGTACATTTAGACCTGAGAGTTTGTACATTTAGAGAGTTTGTACATCCTCTCTAGCCTGGTCCAGCAGGGATTAGTATGCCCAACACAGCTACACTTGTAAAACTGTCTTCATTACAAAACTCCCTTTTTTCCCTTTAGCTCTCACACTTCCCCATTTTTTATAAAATTTTCAGTCTGGAAGATAATTTTCCCCAGCTGGTTTGTTGCCAAAAATGTTTTCATTATTAGTTTGGAGGGTTTTTTTATTCAGAGCATAAAAAGCTTCATCTGTAATTTGTAGCTGGGGCAGAAGAGAGTCAGGCACTCAATTTCAATACTTTCAAAATCTATTCTTACAATCTGGATTTTTCAGGAGCTTTTAACATCACAAATGCCTCATCTATTTTTTAAAATCATGTATTAATAAAGACTACTCACTATTAAGCCCAGAGTTCAGCACATGTGCAGCAGAAATTCATAGCTTAAAATGAAAATAGAAGACAGACATGTGGGATTTTCCATGCAAAAAGTATTAATGTTTCATGCATATCCACTTAGAAAAGCAGCCACGTGAGGGTGAAATTCATTTAAGACTATCTAAGGGTCAGTTCAGCATATGATTCACTTATATCTCATTAAGTCTGAGAATTTTTTTCCTAATTATTGCACAGCTTTCTATGCTTGGATGCTTTGAATTTCATCCTGTGTTTGAAATTATTCATTCAAGGTGTTTATCAGCTTTACTCACCAATCAAAGGACTCAGCTCTGTTGTTCTTGGAGCTCTTTTAATTTTTTCCCTTTCCCAATCCCCTTCCCACCCTTATTTCATTCCATCTCTGAACTTTCAAAAAGAAATATGCTAACTGGAAAATGCTGAGTCAGAACACCATTAAGGAAGCCAGGTTAAAAAATCTTAGAAATGCAGAACTTAATGTCCCACTAGGTACATTAATTCTGACACACTGCACATACTTTATTTTTTTTTATTCCCATTTTTCTTTGCTACATGAATATTTTAGTAGATTAGTTCTAGTACACTAAGATATAGAGCACAATCAAATAGATGTTGGTGTTGGAGAAGGAATACTTCTCCATGCATGACTCAAGCTGTGCAACCTAAAAATAAAGTCACTAGCATCACTTGAGCTTTATATTGTCTATAAAATTGGTGACAGGATGAAGCAATAATTCAGGACAGGGGCAGGTCCTGCAGATATTGAGGTTCAACCCCACCAGGACTTCATGAATCCTGATAAAATCTTTCTTTGTCCTTATGTCCGAAGGTGTCAGAAAACAGAATGGCAATTACCTTATAAAAGACCCTTTAAATTTCTCCTGTGTGGCCCTTCTTGTGTTTTGGCCTTTGAAATGAGAAGGAACATAACAGCTTTTTTCTCACATATACTTTTAAGGGCTCAGATATTGCCACTCTTCTGTGTTCTAATAGCACCAAGTTTGGTGAGCTTTTTGTCTCTGCATCTAAAACCACTGAATGATCAATCCTAGAAGTATTTCATTCAGAACAAAGCAAAATGAGAACAAAGTATTTCTTTTCTCCTTTCTATTGGTTCACTTTGCCAATATTTCCCACAAGAACAGTGTTAACTTTACCCATTAATTGCTAAGCTTTCCATTTAACATGCACTCACCCTTTAAATCTCCTCTGGAAAAAAAAATGTGGGTTTCTTTCCTTTTCCTGTTCTTACTGTTTAATTCTAATACCTGAGAAGTAGAGAAGTAAATCTCACTTGTCAGAGATCTTCCCTTCCTAATTTCTTCAACTGGATTTTTTCAGTTGCTTTTTTAAGTTTAGTTTTTAGTGCAGGATTTTGAAATTTTCTGTAGATCTTGATCA